CTTGGATTAATCCCATTAACGAATGTTTGATTGATTGAGCAAGTCCAGCACCTACCATTGCTCACGTGTAACTCTTATTTATTATTTGATATCGCTTTTTGTCGTATCAAAACCAGTTGTAATCCTCTTATCATTATCCTCTTTTAGTGTCACCGCGTGGTTGTTTTTATATACTGAAACATGTTAGTGAGCCTTTTTTTGTAATGTGGTGTCTTTCAAACTGTTTTATTATGTGATTTAGAAACACCTAGCAGGCTGTGAGCAATACGACACATCGCAAAAGCTATCAACGAGCAATTCATCACCAAATGTATAATTTAAAGCAAAAGTACTCTTTAGAATACTTTATAACTTTTTATTGAATATTTAGAGTACGATTTGGCTCTACTGATAATGAAGACTGTTACACGTCGAATATAAGTTGCGGAATGCCTATTATTATCAATATTAATGATTTTTATGTTGGTGACGGTAGTACTCAAGAACATTCTACTACTTTTCTGCTTTACATGTCTATTCTTCTTACAGACTTTTCAGTTCAAGCTGACATCAAATTAGATGGAAATTATTTACGAGAAACATTGTTATATTTAGGTTTTAAGGTGGAAATGCATGAAGACTTAACAGCAGCACAAATTGTGATCTATTTAGAAGATGGTAAATGTCTTATATATTCTCCCATATTTGTGATTATTTTTGTCTCTTCACAGCTCTTACGACTGATCATTCAAATTCTGATTGTTTGTTGATTATTTTGTTATCATGTGGTAACGATAAAGATCTCGTTTACGCTAGTAATCAGGCTATGTCAATTGATTATCTGACGTCACTATTTAAACTAGCATCAAAGACATTGAGTGGAAAACCGAAATATTTATTTTACAAGTATGCTGCGTCAGATCTCTTTTATTTTCCAATACGGATTTTTCATTCAAAGACACTTCGTAGCCAACACCTTATAGAATTAATGAAAAAACAAGTGACATTTGTTGACGATAAATCGTGCTACGCTTATGAAACACCTATAGGTAGTGGCGGTACCAGGGGTGGGCTACACCCTGAAACCATTTGAGCCCATCCTGAAAGTTTTTAGAATTTTGAAAAACAGTCACATTTTCTTCCAGTATAGATAACGCAGTATGTCCTTTTTTTTTAGAAGAGAAGCTTTTCTTGTCTGTACGAAAGTTCAAGAGCGGCGTAGGTAGGGAGAGAAATTAACTTGGTTGGGAAAAATAAACACTACCTTTTTCCTTTCCGAGTACAGTCGGGCTGAGCCCATCCTAGCTACAATTCCTGGTATCGCCGCTACCTATAGGTGATTTTCTTATGGTTTATTCAACTCTGTGGGGTGAGTAGTGCGAGCAGAAACTCATCCAGTCAGCTATTGATTGTTGTTCTTTCAGATTATTATAGATCGGGAGATTTGAAAGGCACGCTGTTTGTTCGAGCATTGTGTGATACGCTCAAAGAGGATGCCCATGAAATGGACTTAATCCGAATTTTAACAAAAGTCAACCGACTTATCGCCGCTGATTATGATATAAATGTTAATGATTTAGTAATGTCGGATCGAAGAAAGCTACCAAGAATTATATCAACGTTAACAAAAGATATTTGGTTAAAGTCAACATAAACATTTTGTTTCATTCCTGTTCAATATTTAACTAGTCGTGTATGTCAGTTGTTGTAATGTTGATTTTCCTGTGACTCGATATAAGTTTATTTTTATTATACGTATTGCGCATGACATCCGCATTTCATTACTTCCCAAACACTAAGTGAATGAATAATTAAGTCTCACTTATACATATGTCTATTGTATAAGATTAACAGTGGAAATATCGTGTGTAGGTGATCAGTAAAGAAGTTGTTTATTCATCACAGACAAGGAAAGAGCGGTTAGTAACTCTTACATTAAAAAAGTAGAGTGGCTTGTCTACTGGTATTACATGGAAAAACTGAATAAACAGTAACTACATGTTCATTCTTTAACTAGCAGAATAAAGAACGTTTCTGTAAGACATGCGCATATAAAAAAGAGAGACAGTAACAAAAATTCATCAAACAATTTATCTTAACATCGATGAATTCTTATGTAGCGAATTATATATATATGAAAAAAAGAATAAAATACAAAAAGTTTTGATATGAAAGGATCTCTTCAAAAGAGAGTGTTTCTTAAGGTAGTTGAGACACTGATTTCCCCGTGTTTTACCCGGTTTTCTCTTCGGGAACATAATGCAATCAAAAACACTAAAAAGCAGATATAAACTGCAAAAAGCTCAAGTATAAAGATATACGTACCTTATATAACAGACACTGTTTTTCATCTTGTTTAAAATGAGAAGAAAAATATAGATGTCTTCAATCACACACGTGTCTGTCGTATAAGTCATATACAGAAATGAATGGTCGCTTCCCAGTTTGCAAGCTAATTGACTTTTTATACATTTTCGTATTTCCCATTTTGCAAGCCAAAATATGAACGAAAAAATCTCCCATTTTGCAAGCCAATTAGTTTAGAAAAAAATATAGATTGTTACATTATAAAAGTAATCAGATGTTGTTAATAAAAGAAAGATAATTAATCAAAAGGAAAAAGCACATGATATTGAAAAAAAAGCTTGTAATATAAGTTTAAACGTCCTTTTTTCCACCAACCTCAAAAATATACTTATATGCTACGCGTCTTACTTGATGAAGATAATCTTCAAACTCTATTTCGCCAATAGCTAATGCCGTTTTGGCTACACACAAATCGAAATCAGCGTCTTCGTCTTCTTTTCGCCGTTTTTTGGATGTTACACCACTACCTACTTCTAAGATGCCACGACAGCGAGCATAATCTTCTTCTTTACAAATTTGCTCGATCCACCGATAAATGTTTGGATGAGCTGGAACACGTCTACCAAGGACGACAGGGCTTATAAATAACAAGTAAGATTAAAGACTTCTAAGTACATACGAATTTTGTTTACGATGATAACCTTCTACAGCATTATTAGTTTTCGGACCTAAATCAAACTGATCATACAAATTCCAGAATTTCTGCGTAAAATCATTTTCTGAAATACAAACATATATATAAGTTCTCTCAATGTTTCTTGAAAAGTAGTATTATTAAAGGTATATTATTATATATACCTTCGATATATGTTTCACAAACGTAATCAAACATCTTCTGTATAGCAGTCATATCAGCTGGGACTAGATCATGCGTATCGGCAGATAGCGGACCAATTTGATCGATGGGAACAAGTGGTAATGCGAATAAATTTGCTATCAGCCGACGCATGTCTAAATAGAAGTTGAATACGGTCAATCTTGAGGAATCATTATGTGTTGGACTGTGAGAAATACCTGGTTCTTTTTTGTACAATTTTATTCCACCTTTTTGTTTTGAAAGTTTTTTCCACAGACTTTTTGTGTAATGAAAATAGCAGCCTTTGATTTCTGCATTTGGAAAATGTTCTTTAAAAGCTGAAATTGCTCCTTTTTCGAAATCCATCATGATTGTTTTAGGGTTAAAAACTGTGCCTAAAATATAGTAATCGATGTCGCTGAGGGCACCACTAAAGTGCAGTGTCGAGGACATGTCTAGTGGTGCCCTCAGCGAATATCTCGGTAACAGTGCTTGGCCAGAAAAAATAAATATGAGGAAATGAAATATTATTTATGGTCTGTTTAAACTTAAAACTTTTATCCAGTGAATTTGAGGATCACTTTTCTGATATTTGGGTGCATTGGTGACATTAAAGCGGATACACTTATCTGTCTGACCACGTACCATCATTTTCGGGTTAATTTTCTTACATTTCACATCAATAATAAATTTAAATTAAATTTCTGTTAAAATGTCTGATGATAATATTAAAATTTCTTCTGACCATTTTCCACCTTCATCTACATCTTCTACCGCGCGCTTAAAATGTTAACGTCCAGAATAAAGGGCTTGCTAAAACGAAAAGGTGATCCGAAGCAATATATAGTTATCAAAAATGAATAAAAGCACAGATCATCAGAACACGAGGTGTTTCGGTTTGCCCATATTGTTTTGTTTCCTGTCACTTTTGTTTTTATCTAATGTTGCTATTATTTGTATGTTATGCTGAAATATCTACTATATCATATTCAAAAAGATCACCAGGCTTCTACAGCCCAAGCCGAAGGCAACGGCAGGCAGGCAGGCAGGCAAGGCGCAAGAAGCATATCCACAGACCTGGTGGACCAGACCTGTTGAATGTTGGCCTATTTCGAACCCTGTTGCACACGCAAATCATCACACAGCATAGACAGAAAGATTGTAACTGATGATGGAACCAGTGCATAAATATATCAGAATCGTCGAAAGGCGGTCCACAGCCTCAGTCGGACATATTGTTGTCACTGCCTTTCATTAAAAAATTTATTAATCAGTTTAAAACGAAAAAAAATTTTTTTTCATTTTCTTCGTGCAAGAAGTTTTAGAAAATCGGGATCATATAATACCGCAACCTAGTCAAATACCTACTTTTGTTCAGTTTTTGATTCTTTATCGAATGCTATTTGGTCAAAGTCTCCATCACTTTCAAGCGTTGAGTTGTTTAAATGTTAAAAATAGTTCAAACTTTAAAATTTAAAATTAAGCTTACAAATAGGGCTGTCAGATTTAACGTTAATTTTCGTTTACCGTTAACGTTAATTTTAACGTAACGTTAACGTGACAGCCCTACTTAAAAATTCAAACTTAGAGTTGGAGACTTGACTTTTTTTCAAAATGTAGCACGCCCTGAATACAATGTTCTTTCCCAAAAAGTTTTAAATGCGAAGGTTTTTTTCGGTACAGGTAGGCTAACAATCACAATTTCCTATAAACTGTACCTTCAGCCTTTTTGGACCAAACTTTCCATTAGACAAAGAAAGAGCATGGTCTGAAACCCCTTAGAAAACCTCTTATTATAAGTAGAACATGTGAAATTCATTGTCGTCAGATAACAAGGGCGTCATACAGAACAGGGAATGAATTTTTATGAACACAGATTTAACCTCATGTAACTAATATAGTTTTTCTTGTCCATACAAATCGATAGTTTTTTTATTTTTGTTAAATACTTCAATATCGTTCTTATCTTTTTGAATGCTTTAGAATAAAACAGTAAAGCGGCAGCTTTTTATAGTAATTTTCCAAAGAAAACTCCATAGACCTATATTGGGTCTATAGAGTTTTCTAATAACAACAACATAAATATCTTGTACAATAGAGAAGAACGTATGAGAGGAAGTGTATATAAATAATGTAGTGAAATTATAAACTTTATGTCATATTTTCTAACTAGCGCATTTCAGTCATCATTATTGTTTAAACATTGTTTTTCAGAAAAAATATTTATAATTTGCAACAATGATACAGTCGAAAGTTGATTTGTTACTCTTATTAACGAGCACACTATTTATCGTATCAGTATTCGCCGTCCGTCTAAAAATATAGAGCCAGAGACGGGCATGTGTAAAGGAATGTTTCCACAATTTTATTATAATAAAGGTACCAATAATTGTGAAGAATTCACGTGGGGAGGATGTGGAGATAGGTTGAGATTGGCTGGGTAAAGAGCATAATCTCAGCTTGATTTATATGCAAAAATATCAAGGCTTCGTTTACCGTTGCTGTGTATTTGAGGCTTTATTGAAAAAGAGAGAGAGTGAGGAACAACAGCGACTGTCTGGCTCATGACCCTTACATATGAACGTTGTTCCTACAGTAAAGTGCTTTCAGAATATCTAATTGGTTTTCAAAAATGATAGTTTGAAATACTTATTGTTACCGAACTCCATTATTTTTGTCTTATCCGGTTTTTTTATTACTGTTAAAGAGAAAATATCTAACGTTCTGACCTGAAGGTGAACGTTAGCTGGCCACGCTGAGGATAGATCCTGGTCTGAATGTCCTGGAAACTACTAACTTTTCCTCTGTAATGATTAGAGTTTGGCGATTCTGAGTCCGGTTTCAAAAAACAAAAATTTTCCGGTTCGGTTCCTATTCCGAAAACGTTTTTCATCCGGGGGCAATTTAGATAAATTTTTTTAATTTTCAAGATTTTTCTGAGAAAATGGCAGAAGATTTTCGAAAAAAAGGATATACAATTGGCCTCTGCTTTTTTAAATGCTACACATAATGATTTTTGAGCTTTGAGGAAAAAAAATTGACGTTAAATAGCGACAAAATATTTTTCGGTTCCAATAGGTTCTGGTTCTGACAAGAAAATTTTTGTGCTTCCGATCCAAAAAAAGGAACCGTCGGACGATAGTAATGATACGTCTAAGTCTCGCTGTTTACAGACAACAATGACTTGCATAATGAACTGTTTCGCCAGTCTTCTTCCACTATCTTTATTCGCATTCGTTTCTACACATGATTATTTTTGAAGCGGAATTTGCCGTTGCTATTATACAGATGTGAACTGTCAAATTTCATTTTAGATAACTAAAAGCATGACTAGATTAAAAATTGGACAAATCGTTAGCTGCTATAACGGTGTGTGATCAACAGTTTATGATTTGAGAAAAAAATCTGTTGGTGCTCTAACATTCACTTCTATTTTAGATTTGTTTTGGCTTTGCAAAATAACGAAAATTGACGGAGATGAAATAACGGTTAAGTGGTATGAAAAACAAGCGAACACTTCATTATTTGTGCTAAAAAAAGATGAAACCGATATAATACACAAACAATCGATGCTCGTTCAATTTGATCCTTCCGTTAATTCCAAACAAATGAATGAAAATCAAATAAAACTGTCAGGTATTGATATGAAGAGTCTTTATCAATCAGTAATATTAACATTGAATAATAAATTAAAACAGTTGTAGTTAGTCGGTAAGCGCAAGAATTAACTGCTTTTTCAATTCATTTCTTTTATTACATTCGTTTCCAAATTGCAGATGACGAACAACAGACACAGGAAAGCACAACGTCATCACATCCCGTTTTGATCGATGCAATAGAACAACAGTCTCGACGAATTCAAGTATATTGAAATATATGAGTAATGCGCAACTTGTTTGCAGAATTGGTTATTTACGGTTTTTCCGCATTAATTTCTTATGGCCCGATTTTTTTCTTTTACACACTTTTGTGTGTCCCACTACCATACAAACTTACAGCTTCGTATCTCAACAGCTCGCCGTGTTCGATCTTTTTTTGAAGTTGTTTCTGCTATAACTTCTGATGGATTCGTCCAAACTCCATGCAACTTTCACACAAGATAGAGCATAAAAAAGTAAAGTCAAGGACTTCTATGACTTGCCTGGACTTGACTTGGCCTCCGGAAAGGTATCTCATGACTTGATTTGACTTGGACAACCTTCAAAATTTAAGTCAAGTCTTTTTGGATTTTTTCGTAAAGAAAATTGAGATTTTTTGCAAAAAATCGCTTCAACGTTTCTTCTACAGCGAATCCAAATTCCAATCTCCAAGGTTAAGGAAATCTAAAGAAGAAAACTCTCGGTTCTTCCAAAAAAATCTTCACTTGATTTGAAAATGACTTCCACTCGGGAAAGAAATCACGAAAGACTTGACTGGTATTCCTTTAGCAGGTGTTCCACCGTGAATGTGTGGTAACATTATAGCTGGTGTTCCCCATAAGAAAAAAGTGTTCCACCTTTTTATCATAGCTGGTGTGTGGATCGATAAAATTTTGTGAGTGGTTTACCGTTTGATGGTCATACCCGTATGTTGTTTGTAGACGTCAATAAGCTTTTCATTCGTCTGACCAAATTGTGGTGCCAGGATAAACATTTTTCCAGATAATTGGAAGTAGTGTAGCAGCATCACGTCGTCGTACATGGAAAAACGAGCCTCGTATCCCTCTGCCGTTGGCTGCGCAATTCCGAATATCCAGGGACCTAAATGAACAAAAGAGGGTTTTTATTCAATGTTTCTCTTAGCAAAAAAAATGTCTTACCATCAGCTCTTGTCCCATAATTACGGTTGTTATTTGTTTGAACAGTGTTGGAATCTGAATCATCACTGGACGTCGAACTTGGGTATTGTACGAGACCGTTGTTGTTGTTGGAGCCTGTCGTTGCGTTTCTACGATTGCCCAGTAATTACCGGCCACGATTATACTTGCGCTTGTCACGAAATAACGATTCATCTATTTGCACAACTTCACCAATGCCACCCATTTGCGGAGCGTCATTCAGCTTCTCTTGACACACCTACATAAGATTGATAGTAGAAACAAGTTATAGAAATTTCAGAAAAAACTTACTTCTAGCAAAACGTTTGTTCAATCGGCCACAGTCGTTTCCGTGACATGTGGCAATTGTTGACGAAGACGTGCCCAAACACCACAGCCATATCAATTCCAAGATTGTCCGTATATCAAGTTTCGAATTTGGTCGACCCAATGCATCAATAAATGCGAAGAATGTATTTTTACGAACACTTAATTGATTTCGACATTGTCGATTGGTACACCGCATTGTCGGATAGATCTTGACCGTACCATCTTTGAGTGTCTTCTTCCTTGTGCCATCGGCCATAGGTGAGCCACAGTGACATGTGTATTCATCACTTTTTTGAGCCAAATTTTGATCGCGAACGAATTGAGATAGTAAATCATCATCATTTAATATTTGTAAAATTCTCGGTTGTCAGTAGGAATAGCCATAATTGTTGGGAAATGAAGTTGTGGAGTGACATGTGTTGCAAATAACACTCTTTTTATAGTATAGTTCATACTACGTTTTTTATTGCTTGAGCGGATCAAGTAATTAAGGGATCTGATCTGCCTTTTGTCTCATTATTCGTATTTTAATTTCTATCAATCGATGTTTTTTTCAGCTTATGTGAAAACAGATATCTTCTTAATTACTTCTTTTTTAATTATGCATAAGATAGTTTCTTTGATTTATCAGTATTTACTTTAATCCTATTAGAGACTAGAAAATATATATAGAGTATAAAAATATAGAGAAGACTAGAAACGGAAATTTTTCGTGTTTTTCAAGAAGAGGAACACTTCTATCCATTCTATTCTATCTATAAAAAGGTGGAACACTTTTTCGTTACGGGGAACACCAGCTATAATGTCACTATGTCGTCTTTAATAAAAGAGGTGGAACACTTTTTTCTTATGGGGAACACCAGCTATAATGTTACCATACATTCACGGTGGAACACCTGCCAAAGGAATACCGACTTGACTTGACTTGGAAAAAGTTTTGAATGACGTGATTTGTCTACGACTTGAGAAGTCTCTGATATGCCCATGTCTGATTTGGAAACTTCTGGGTAAAAAGTTTTTCAGATTTTGATGTGCTGAGATAAGGTGAAAAGGTCATGTTTTGTACACCTTTCGATTCGTCACATAGAGCGGCGTCGAATGGTTTGGTCCGTGGTCTGATGATTTGTTGCACTGCAAAAAATGCCAATCATTGTCAAATGCAGCCACATGGATGACATCTGCTAAACTAGCTTGTCAGAGGATCTAATAATGACCGAAAAGAATTAAATTATGGACTCTTTAAGATGGTGTGTTTATTTTTCGCTAAAAATGACTACCGCACGAAAGGTGTCGCGCAGATACGGGAAGAGTGGTGTGAGAGTAGAGACCATTTGGCAAGGAGACACACGAAACTAATGGCGAAGTTACCAGAAATACGCAGCTGGTTGTTTGGTTTTTTTCTTTCTTATCTTCGTTAAAAATCAAGCTACTGCAGTGTTTTTTAAGCGGTTAGCGCTCTCCAATCATTCGAATCATCTTGCTTTCATTCCTGATTTAATTTTTTTATTCATGGGAGCATTTTACACAAAAAATCGAAGCTCATTCAGAAAAAACAGGTTTACAATAAAAATAGTTTAATCACAGATAATGAAACAGGAAAAGAACTTGAAAACTGATCTGTTTTTCAAGATTATAATACTCTTCTATTTTTGAAACAAATCGGAGAGTTGAATCGTTGTTGAAGAGTTGTTAGCTGAATCGTCCAAATCTTGAAGAATGTCGTATTGAGAATATGGACGACTTCTAGTCGTAGCTGTTTTTGAGGATTGTGTCTTCTAAATAAAGGAATGCAGAACAAGTGTAACAACAGAATGCTCAAGCGTAACATACTAATAAGATTGGGGGGAGTGTCACGCTCCCCATCCCAGTAACGTCACTTCTGCTGAACTGCAAAACAGAACAGTAAACAACAAGCATAACCTGGGTCCAGTTTCTTAAAAAAAACTTGAAAAAATAAGTCGCACTAAAGTCAAACTTAAGATTCGACTTAAGTGTGTTTCTCGAACGACAACGTAAGTTAAATGAAAGCTTAAGTAGGAAGACTGACTTGAGTTTTTTTAAGAAACACTTAAGACAGACTTAAGTCAGATTTTCTACTTAAGTTTCGGTTAAGTTTTTTTAAGAAACTGGTGCTCGTTTCACGAAAAAACTTAAGTCTAACTTAAATGCATGACTTAAAACAAAATTGAAATCGAAGATAAGTCGGACTTAAGTGAAACTTAATTTTTGACTTAAATGTGTTTCACAAAGGACAACTTTTGAGCAGCATGGCTGTATTTGAGCAGCATGGCTGTATTAGCTAATGGCTAGGACAACGTATTTACAAGTGCCGCGTACGAACCCATCTAGTGACAGCAGCTATGTAATGGTCTTGGGCAAGCTATTCATGTTCATTGCTTCAGACCGTGACCTATAGATGAATATAATGGGACTTCCCTCGATTTTCAGCTGGTCACGTGCTCTGGGTGTTTAGAAAAAAAAAAGAAAAAAGGACAACTTAACTCAGACTTAACACTTAAGCAAAAAATTTGACTTAAGTTAACCAAATGCATTAGAAGTGCAGAGCTGTGCTATATTTAGCTGATAATAGCAAGGAAGTTTTAAGGAAAAAGCGTTGCTTATAATGAATTGCAAAATAATTCATCGACCTCTTTGGTAGATTTTTGGCTACTTTTGAAAAACTTAAGAGAATTAAAGAGATCTTTCGCAGAATATCAAGTCATATTTGATCACAAGAAGATGATGCGTACTAGCCTTGGCTTTTCTTTCATGCAGCTCACTATTTTGGCACAGATAAACACTGCAACAACCCAGGCTTTCGCTTTTTGACTGAACTAGGGTAGCAAGATTTCGATGTTTGAGTAAAACACGAGCGAAACTATAATTTATTAAAGAAAACTAAAAATAAAAGCGTTTTATTTTAAATAAAAAATCAAAAAAAAAAGTCGTTTAATTTTAAAACTCAATTATAGCTCCTTTTGGAAATCTATATCGTGCCAGAATCATTTGGTCTGACATGAAGTCCAAGGAATTTTGTCCGTCTTGAAAGACTTTCTCTTTTTACTGCTCTGGCCGCTATAAACGTCATGACTGCCATTTTGTTGATTTATTGCTGTAAAATCTATTTACTTTTAGTCATTTAACATGAATGTTATGTCACCTATTTCGATGACTTAAGTATAACATTGACTTAAGTTTGACTGAAGTCAAAAATCACACTTTAGTTTTTCTATGAAACGCGATTTTTGTATCATTTTTGATTTAGGTCAATTTTATACTTAACTCTGACTAGTCACTTTTACACTGAAGTTTTTTTATAAAAATGGCTCGTGGCCCCTGTTCCTCCTTTTTATCTTTGTGCTGGCTGCCATTACGGACGAGCTAGACTTATTAAATATGACATATTTAAAAATCAACAGATGTCGTTAGAGAAACGTTTTTATTCCTTCTTGTCAGAGACATTCGACACTTCGGTTCTTAATCTTTTTAGAAGGAAAGCGTATAGTGAAGAGATGAGCTCCTGAAAACCAGTACTACTCTAAAGTGCATCACTGGATTCGTAATCTGCTATAGAAGGCATGAGTCATTGACTGACTGTTAACAGACTAGGTGCGTGATGTTCTGTGTTTTCATTAAAAAAATGCGATTCTTTTCTCAAACTCACTTTCTGATTGAGTATCTGAAAATTATAAGTATGGGTTTCTCACCCAATACGCGTCCGATAGCAGGGAAATTCACATCAGACACTGACTGAACGATGGGGAGCAAAATACACTACTCGGTTTTTGTTTAAACTCACTTTCATTTTTTTGGCTAATTTGAAAAATAGTTGCGCTTCACCCATACGTAGTTTCAATAGAGTCGTAACTTTTGTGAAATAATGCATAAAATGGCTATCATCTTGCTGATTAAAGCGAGCACTTTTTTCTTTCCATCCTGAACGAAAAATATCATATCGATATTAAAAGAAAGAATACGTTCTTCGACGTAGGGAAATGAAAACTAGTTTATTCACATAGTCTATTCTCATTAGACGTTTCTTGTTCCTCTTCTTACAGACGTACGTTCTTTGTGAACTGAAGAAAGTAATTTAGGAATATATAAGAATTGCTGTCGTTCTCTCTTCTCCTGAATGTTTCCTTCTGTTATCGGAAGACAAAAACAAAGCATTCTCACTCCGTATATAACCAGCTATTTGTTTCTGATTATTGAATAACAACTGCAGAACGGTATCTTATAAGAGTAGTGCTTTTCCCACATCTCTACGGTAACATTTTTTTGAAAACTTTAGGTCAAAATTAATAATATGGAAAAGGAAATTAAAGATATACAAGAAAGAAACGAGCTTCTCACAAAAACAATAAAAGAATTTCGCATGGAATTCCAATGAAATTCCAATGTCTATCGATACTCATTTGACATGCTTGACCAAATTACTACCAAATATGGATGATGGAGAAAAACCAGAATTAATTAAAAATTTAATTGCGTCAACCATTTGATGTTCTACAGGAGAATACAAATCTCTAATTTCTTTTACAAATGAATTGCTAAACGGTATGGATATAAAATTTTTCTTTGAACACACATTTACTGCTCTAGTCCAAAATCAACAAAGTGAAAGAAAAATTGAATTATGTAAAGATATCTTATTGGCCTCTGAAAAAGTCCAATTTATTACACAACTACAACAGTTGATTGTGGATAATGTTTCTTATAAAGCCAATTTAATTACCTTATTGTTAAAACTTGGTAAGGATTAGTCACATTTTCATTGTTAGTTTCCTGAAAGGCCGAGTTCAGGAGAGTAATGAACTGCGGATTTGAGTTTTACAATACCAGGCCCTACACCAGAACAGTAATTTTCTGTTTCGACTGAAACCTGATCATAGAGATGGTCAAGTCGTTTTTGACTTGACTTGAGAGAAATAAAAATTGAGAATGACTGACAAAATTCTTTCGCATTACCTTCGAACTTGTTTGAAAAACTTTTCTGCTACGCTCGCTACTTCTCTCCCTCCAAATGAATCACCCACTGACCATACAGAATATGGAGTCAAAAACTTTTTTTACTATCCTTCCTCAATATTCAAGCTAGCCAAACAATGGCCGATTTTTCTTTGGTTTTCAATCTGTATTCGGAGATGAGTATTCTCATGGCTGAAAACTTGCTTTTCACTTGTTTTCCCGAATAAAGCGCATCGCGTTAGATATGTTTGATTGTGTTTTAGGTGAAACAAGAGCTGATAAAATTGA